AAAATAAGATCAACCCTACTTAAGCCTTTTTTTTTTTTTTAAAAAAAAAATAACCAAAAAAAAAAAAAAAAAAAAAAAAAACCTGATGATAAATGTAAACAGAAAGTAGAAAGGCATCCAAAAGCCATTTGCCCTTCCAGACTGAATCAGGCAAAAAATACCATCGAGGACCACATAAACACCTGGGTCCTGAGTCCTGAGAAGTGCCTAGGTCCTTTAAAAAGAGGCCTTGTCCATTCTCTAGATTTCACAACCTGGTTTTGTGGGATAAGAAGAAAGATAATCCTCAAAAAGGATCAGTGAGTGCATAGCAATGGCATTCCAGAGAAAATTCACCATCAACGCTCACCACTGCAGGTAATCGCACACACCCTCCTCCTCCTCCACACCCTGGCTCCGAGGGAGACCATCTCCTTTTGGAGAGAGGGAAGAGCCAGGCTTAATATGCCCTGTTGCAGATCAGATATTGAATTCTGCACTATAAATATACATAATGAAAGACCAGGTACTTGCAGCTACTACATTGGGCTAAGTACTTAGCCATTAATTTGGAAGCATGAAGCACCCCTGCATACCTACTCCCAAGCTTCTTTAGTTTATTATCATACAATATAAGAAAATATCCTAGCCAGACCCCCAGGAAGGTTGCCAGATTAGCATATAAAAATTTAGTGTCCGTCGGTCATATTTGAATCTCAGAAAAATAGCGTATATATATAAATATACATATATGTTGTTTATCTGAAATTCAAATTTAACTGGCCATTCTGTGTTTAATCTGGCAATCCTATCCCTAAAGCTATCAATGAGAAATTTTGGAATTTCTGTCTTGGAGCTAAATATTAGCCCAGGCAGAAGAGAATATGGGAAATGTGGATACTGAACTTTTTAACGTGCACAGGGCCCCACAGATTGTACTGTGCCTACTTTACAATTTCTCTGTGAGGTAAGACCAAAGTCCTTAATCCCCACTTTACGAGTATAGACTCTGAGTTAAAGAATTGCACAAGGTTACAAAGCAAAGTAGAAGAGCTGGGATTCACATTAAGACCCTCCAGCCTTTTTTCGTGGGGGCTCTGTCAATCACTACACTAAACAAACATAAGAGAAGGAAGAATTTAAGAGACTGGCTAGAAAGCATTGCTTTAGCAAGCAAAAATATCTAGTGCAAGCATGGACACTCTTTTCTGTTTTCACGCCTAAGTAAGCAATCATCTGTCTGTGTTCTTTACAGGCTGAGAGTGGCCATTAAGAAATGAAAGCGAGTTTAGATTTCACAGTATGTTTGGATTTGATGACATTTTGCATTTCAAGAAACCAAGGTCAGCTCAACCCTTTTAGCACTGGGACCCAGATACCACCATGATTTAAGCAAACTACCCCAGTGAATTTAAAGGTAAGTGGTGGGATAATTGTTCACTGCCTCCCATGCTTTAATTTGCCAAGGACTATCTTTATTTATAAATCTATTAAAGAGAGCTCTGTTTCACTCTACAAAATACTAGCAAGTTCTGAAATGAAGTAGAATTTATTCTTGTGACTATGCTTAGAGAATAAACTTGGGTATCATTGGTATGTTAACATTCCCAACATTAGCTGCCTCTTGCATGTGCCTTATTTGTTAACTCCAAGCAAAGCTATAGTCAGAAGAACTCTAGTTAGAAAATTATTGAAAACTGAACCTCACATTTCTTTTTTTAAAAGACATATTGTACAATTAACCTACCGTTGCTAAGACATTACAAATTCAAATCTTGCTCTATTCGCCCACAAAATCAAATGTTCCCCATATTTGTCATGTCAAAAGAAACTAGTTGAGTTTCTAATATCACAGAACCAAACTAATATTTCTCATGTGCTTATTTCATTCATTTTTAGAAGCTGTGCAAGGAGGAACAATTGCCTATGACAACTGTCTGTGAAGAATATTGTCAGAAATTCTGAACTGCCCCAGAGCTGTGGCAAGGAAGTCCAGAGATTATTATTGGGTAATGACGTTGGAAATAAAAAAGTATATAGTATTACAGCATTGAGCTATTAGAATAGAGAATCAATTCAAGGAGACAAGCAAAATTTATATACTTTATTGATTTTAAATTTTACATGCTCTGCTATATGAGTAAATCTTTTGTAGTAATTCTGCAGCTTTGAAACATTGTAAATAACAGGGATTGTGGGGAGTTCAGAAGAGCCATTTTTTCATACAGAAAGTATATAGCCTTTAATGCATATTAGAAGAAATTGGGGTAATCAAATTCCTTAAAGCTAACTTAAGTCTGAGCTAGTGCGGTTTGTTTTTTGTGTTTTGTTTTGTTTTGTTTTGTTTTTTTTGTCTCCAAAGGGTAAGCATGTATCAGGTAGTGAAGTAATTCCAGGTAGCATTGTACTTAAGGGAAAGCATAATTAAATTGATCCTATTGTATTACATAAATCCAACATATCCTGTGTAAACTCAGAAACAGGTGGCTCTTTGTAAAAAGTAGCTGGCTCTTAACCAATTGAAGTAAAGTTTTCTCACACAAAAATGTATACAGGAGGAAAACTGAAACAATGGTTGACTCAGGATTCCATAATCAAGAAGCAGATTGAATTTGAAATCACGTCTGAGCGTTCAATGTACCTGACTCCAAAAGCCTCAGCACTGGGCAATGGGTGAATCTGTTTCCAGACAGGCATCTAAGCAAGCCAGTCAGGTTCCTAGAGCCTGACAACCTTTATTAAAAATAATTGCAGGCTGGATAATTTATAATTTTCAATCATATATGTAATACAGAAAATGACAGACAGCAAGGGGGTGGGAGAAGTTCTATATTTTTATTGCAATGAGCCTGACTGACACTTAAGAAAACATTTTGACACATTCAAGTGTGAGCAACAAATCTGTCCACAGATTCATAAGCCACATGTTTACTTAAAGAAGGCAAAAAATGGGGATCAAAATCCCAAGTGCTTAAGTCCATAAAATTCCCCAAGGTGAACTAGCACCAACAGAGTACATTCTGACCTTCTTAAGATGAGTAAAGATTATCATTTTTTGCATCTGTACACTATTTTTTTTAATTTTGAGAAGCCTCAGATCCATCTTTTCAATATTTAAACTTGCATGAATATAAAATTGAGTGCAATAATCAGGTAACTAAAATCAAACTACTTTTTGCAATTTTGACTTATATTTACTCAGAGCACATCCAGAATATTTGTTTAGAAGTCCTACTAGCTACTAAGTTTGATATTCTTTTTTCCCCACCACGGCACTCCTCACACACATACAAAGCCACATAAAATACTGATTCTATGCATTTACAAGGATCTAAAGGAAATGACAGTGATCCTAAAACACATCAGACTCCAATGAAATAAAATAGTCTCCATGTTTATTTTAAAAAAATCAAGAGTTCTGTATTTCTTCAGACTTCTAAGGTAAGCTACTGAGATTGAAATCAAAATCACTGTAACTATTAACACTTAAAAGTTGGGTAATGACTCATTACAGTGTCTTAAAGTAGGAAACCTCAAAAATGGATATTTCTAACCATCCCATCAGCATAGGCAACCTTTGTGTGACAGAGAGGAAGAGGGAGAGTTCTTATGGGGACAGCAAGTGAGTGGGAATTGTAGGAAAAGAAAGAAATCTAATTCAAGGACCTTGAAAAGTTAATTTGGAAACTTTTGTTAGTGACTTTGGTCTTCATTAAACTCCATGGATCACTATAGCAGCATGATCTCAACAGCTTAAAAGGTATTTGTCATCAGCAAAAGAAAAACATTATTTTTAAAGGAGTAAAAAGATTGATGCATCACTGTGGACTACTTAAGCCCCACGCAGTTTCAGTCTTCGGTATTAATATAAATGTGATGGCTTTTGCATACGGCGCATAATTAAACATTTTCTTTTCAGAGCTTTATAGAATCCCCATATGTTTTTAATGGCATCATCTGAATGTTTTTCTTAATAATCCTGGCAGCCTGCTCCTGAATCTTCGAGTTTGTTTTTTGTTCCTAATATCTTTTCTACAGAGGCTGCATTGTGCCAGAGACTGAATAAAGCTCTGAGAGCCCCATCGTGGAGGAAGACACACACGCCGACTCACACACGCTCCCATTCTGCTTTCTCCTCACTCTTCATTTGCCATTTGTATTGCTATTGGCACCGGGGAAAGATAAGTGAGAGAGAGAAGGCAAGGCAAGAACACAGGGCTCTGTATCACAACCTCATTCTACCATGTGGCATGGCCCCTCTCTCTTTGTTAGTAGGACTTTGCTAACTCATGTTTTATGTCTGTCTTCCTGTCTGCCTCTAAGTGTTTGGTGAGAGTATTGAGGTGTGTGCACACCGAGGGGGTGGGATGACTTTGGCAGCTGCAACATATGATCTGCCTGGCACTCTGGGGCTGGATATAGGTAATTTGCTGACTCAATATCTACGGCCTCATGGGAAAAGACTTTCTCCTTTTGAGCAGTGGTCCATTTTCTGAACCAAACCCCTTCAGACACAACCCATAAAGCTGAAGTAATGAAATGTTCGCCATTTGGTGTAGTCAGCCACATTTTGAGCTGTAAATCAGAATCACTTTCATTTCAGGTGGTATAAATGCAACCCAGTGATCAAGCATATATCCAGGAGGGGACATCAGGATACAATAATAACCTGAGATTCTAATATCCATGTCAACCCAGGACTACTGCCCATAGTCTCAAACATAGAATGTAAGAGCCTCTACTTGAAGAATAAGTAAATCAAAAAGAAGAATGTGTTCCATTGTTGTTCAAATATAGCCTTAAATTTGCTTTATCCCAACATAAATTTAAATTCTGGAAAGTGACAAAGACTATAAATAACTCACATTCGAATCATAAGTCTCCTTTAGATTGAGTGTTTGAACTCAGATCCAAGTTTCAAAATATAATTTTTTTAAAAAGT